GATCAGCGAGTTTTTCGTCAATCTGAGGTAGCAAATTATTTAAATGACGAAGAGAAATTCCCAGCCGACAGTCATATATTGGGAGATGCAGCATATGAAATTCACCAACATTTATTGACTCCCTTTAGAGACAACGGACACCTAACAACGGTACAGAAGAATTATAATTATCGTCAGTCAGTAGCCAGAGTGACAGTCGAAAGATGTATCGGTCTTTTAAAAGGACGTATGAGAAGTTTATTACATTGTCTGCCTATGACAAGAGTGGACTTAATGGCGGAATATGTGGTAGCGTGTTGTGTGATCTACAATATCTGCACGTTAAGTGAAATTGAAGTCATTACTGTCCCAACTCCACCAGAACGTGCCAGAAATATTTTGCAAGAAAGACAAAATGGCAGAATTGCCAAAAGAAATTTAATTATGAACACATTAAGAGTATAAGTTATTTATTACACTGTTAATCCTTATTATTATTATCCTTAATATTTTGTAAGAATACTATAAAATAAAATATTTAAACGTTTTAAACAAATATTTTGTTCTTTATTTAATGAAATTCGGTAATACAACGAAATAAGAAATACAACAATACAACTATTATAACATGAGTTATATATATACTTATATCAGTCTTATATCATCAGTCTTATTCAAAAATAAAATAATATTCGAGATAATAAAAAAAAAAATATTTAATAAATATATATTTTTTTAATTTTAATAAATATTTCTTTCAATATATATGCATAATAAGTTCAAACAAAAAAACATAAAACATTAAACGTATAGAATGAAAGATTTAACTGTAATTTAAAAAATGAGCGGAACAATATTGTATTTATCACTTTCAGCATTAACTATTTGTTAGCTAATTTCGTCAAAACTGCAAGGAATTTTTTATCCATTTCCAGTCTTTCTTTATGCCTTTTGGCTTTTGCTTCCTCGTGTTCAGTTTTTTGAATTAGCTTTTTCTTAAGAATACTGCATACATTTTCTTTTGATACTGACGATTCTTTTCTTTTGAGATTATATAAATTTTTTGTTGATAAATCTGTCGATGAATCTCTTGATGAATCTGAAATGATGAAATTACGAAAAATTGTCGTAATTTCCCAATTAATATACATATGAAAAATAAAAGACAGATGCTTTATGCATAAACTTACCAGATATAGATATAATGTCAACATGGTCCTGTTTAATAGAAAGTTCTGTTGATGATGCAACAGCAACTGGTGAGCACCATGCTCTTTTTGCAAATATTTTATCCATAATCTGCAAAGGATATGTATATTAAAGCATTGGAGGAAATGTGAAATAAGCTTTTGTTACTACATAATTAATATAGTGAAAATTCATTAATATTAATTTTATTTGTTGTTTATTTATTTATTTATTTCTTGTTACATTTCTAATTTAATTTTTCTTTTTTTACATAATGAATATTAGTGAAGGTTCATTAATATTAATTTATTTATTTATTGATTATTTATTTTTTTATTTTTTTATTAGTTTATTAATATTAGTGAAGGTTCATTAATATTAATTTATTTATTTATTTATTTATTTATTAGTTTAATTTATTTCTTGCTACATTTTTAATCTAATTTTTCGTGTACTTCATAAAATGGTCAAGTCCGCCTATCATTGCCTGAAATATTGTTGTGGTCTTTTACGTTTTTGTAAGTTTTTTTTAAGCTTCTCAGTTTTGCTGCACATTGTGGCCCTGTGATCATATGCCCTTTTTCCGCAAGGATTGCACTAATTTCATCCCAGATCCTTTTGTGTGAATATTTTCCACTGGAAAATTTGTCTTCAAACGTTTTATATGTGTCTAATAATAACAATACGGCAGCTGTTGACCACCTATACAAAGAACCTGAATGAGTATTAAATATGAGATCAACTATTTTATTCAATGTTTATTAAAAACTGAATAAACAAATGTTTTAATTAACGTACCACAGTTATCAGTATTTATTTCATTTGTTTCAATAATTTGTTGGGTTTTTTCTGATTCTCTACAAGAACTCTCCGCATTTTTTGTTGATTCTCTCTCTTTCATGGCTGCATTTAATAAAGATGTTGCAAAGGTCATGTCTAAAATTAGAGAAAATTAAATATAGAAAAAAAATTAAATATAGAATTTTCTTCCACAAAATAAGGTTAAGTACGTTCATTAAGAAAAAGTAATGTTTTACAATATTCAAGAATATATCATTTACCTTTCTGTGCACGTGAAAAATCTTCAGAAAGATTTACTTTAATCACTACATCTTTTTTTGCGTCATACAATTTATGCTTGTTCCATATTGAAAATTTTATAACGGCCGGATTTTATAATTTTATAAAATTTTAGTAATGGCCGGATTGTACAAATAAAACAGATGACGAACGAAACGACCGCGCCGACCCACCTACAAACCGTGAGCGTCGTGAGCTCGACGCGGTCGCAATTAATGACGTCAGCTATGACGTTTTGATCGCGACCACAATGATCGCGGTCGTTATGTGGAACGGGATTGTAGGCGTCGCGAGCGTTGCGGGCGATAAGTGGAACGCACCCTAAGTGAACTGTTGCAGTCATGGGCCATGCCTCCAAATGTGATTAAAACATTGGCTGCGTTCAGCAGAATGAAGCGAAGAATAAGCGATTAGTGATGCGTTGCAACAGTTGTGAGTGTTCTGCTGAACTCTATTTTGTGTGATACTGTGTATACCTCTGATATAACCTGTAAAAGTGATGTCTATTAAAAATAATGGAAGCAGCATTATTAATTGCAATGGATGAAAGATGCGACATGAATAATATAATAAATTTTATCATGGACAACCTAATGGAACCATTGCCAAATTATTTAGAGGTTAGAAGACGCAATGGAAAGATAAAGAATCAAAATTATTTTGAATATATAATTCCGAGATACACGGATATACAATTTGCAGA